GACGAACCAGAAACGAGCAAGCAAGAACCAAACCACCACCCAAAAGCAGCACCCACCCTGCCTGCCTCACCTCGGAGATCGGAGGGTCGACCATGGTATCATTGAGAAATTTCACCATCACAAACTTTTTCAGAGCCATCAGGTTTTTCTTGTACGTCTCATTGATGCCCTGGAGGAAAGCAACAGAGAACAGATCCAAGTCACTGGAAAGCCCACTGAGACAGGTCGGGGAAACCGCCTGCTCCAACTTGCCCTGCACCTGCAAAGGAAACCCTGGACTGCACCAGCCTAGGAGGCAGGAACATGCATTTCTGTCAACAGCCTTCCTTGGCTGTGCTCATGGCATTCAGCCTCATCTCCAGGCTGTAAAGAGGGGATGGGCCTCCCCTGCCTCCCCGGGGGAGGGAGAGGATTCGCCCACTTGAAAGGCAATGGGTGGACTGAGCACGTGGCGTATCTACATGGACCACTCCAAGAGTGCAGTGACACAGGAACTGCTCTGCCACGGACAAGTCTCATTCATAAATCTATCGGTGAAAACACTTTGTACACTCCTGGGATGCAGGGCAAAAAATGCTCCCCTTCAAACTCCAGCAAAGCTACTGTCAGGGAGAACTAACGTGAAGCAACTCACTGCTAAGGCTTTTCTGCTAGCATTTAATCATCAGCCAGGTCCTTACCCTCTCCTGATTTATGTCAGCCAAAAAGATGCTGTTTTTCCTGTAGTCCTCCTCCTTCAGAGGGTTGTGCCAATACTCTGCTTGTGCCAAGCTGGAGAAGAGAGAAACCAAAGATCAGATCAGAAACCCAGAGCTTCTCACGTGGGCCCGGCCCCCGTCGCTGCAGCCTGATGAATATACTCACTGCTCTTGAACAGCTTGCGTGTAGGCGCCCAGATCCAGGGTCTTTCGGATCCAGTCACAGATATGGGAGCTCTCACCAGGACAGCGTGGAAAGCCGTACACGCCTAGGGTACAGGAGACACGTATAACAGTTCGGTGAGCCAAACTCAAATCCCTTAATCCCTCCGGCTGGTAAAGAACCACCCTCTTACAGAGCAGTGGCAAGAATTACCCAGGGAATCAGGCAGCCTTTAATCCTGCAATCTCATTAGACAGCCCTCCTGCCCCTGGGCGCTATTACACACAAAGATAATGGATGATGTTCTTGAGAGGGTATTGCTCTGGAGAATGGGGGCATGCAGATGAGCGGAATACTGTCCAGATCGCCTGGTGTGTTCCCAGGAGGTCTCAGGGTGGTTCCCTACAAGTCTTCCCACTAGACTACAAAAAAATAGACTCAAGCCATGGAACTTCTCAGGGGAGAGTATTTGAAATTCATTGCCAGCCATTCTTAACTGTACACCTCTTAAATTCCATTTCATACTGCCTCTTTAATCTACTGCAAAAAGCACTTCCCTTTCCTTGGGGCTTTAGCCTTCCAGATGCCGATTGTGACCCAGAAGGTTTGGTTTCACAAAGGCTTTGCTCTGTAGTTAGAAATTTCTTCTCCCGAAACAACTAATCCCAAGTGATTCCAAAGTATATAAGAGTTCTACCCAGAGAGCAAGTCGTCTACTTACAAAGGTCCCTTCTCATTGCCAGTTAAGCAAGACCAAGACAGAAGATAACGTACTCGGCTAACAACTGGGCCAAAGAAGATCCCCAGATTCAGACAGGAACAAAGGGACAGTTTAATTCACAAGAAAACAGTCAGTTTTTAGGGAGAGGCCGGAAAAATCATTCCTCCCGCCAACAAGAGCCCCCCACCCTTCACAGTGGTTAGGAGGTACGATAACTTAAGAGGACGCTACCTTGGTGTTGCCCCCCAACAGAGATCAAATTGAGCATGGGAGGAGAAGGACACCTCTGGGCCACCGCCCTCCTGTGGAGAAAGATGAAGGAGCTGAGCTGGCACTCAGCGTGCCCAAGCCACCAATGCTGGTTCACAGGCAGCTCTCAGCTTGCCACTGCGTGGGCTCGGGCACCTGGGTAACGTTTGCAAAGAGAATTAACCCTTCCTGGTAGAGTTGGGCTACAGGCAAACACATTCTTGCCTTTGGAGAGCTCCTACCTTTACAAAGGGGTTTGTCAGTTTACATCTGCTTAGTACTTCAAAAGAGTTTTAAATCAGAACCTAAACAGCAACAAAATTCACTGGAAATGGAACAGAAGTGTAAACTTACAGGAACTGGCCTCCCTGGGAGAAGCCCATTGCATTGTAGCCTCCTTTTAGGTGAGGGTCCTTTGCAAGTTGGCTGCACACCTCTCTCACTTGATCGTTCACATTCATAAAGAAGCTGTTCTCCATATCCTGATGGATTAGCCAGATTAGAAAGTACAACTTGTACCTTTACAACGGTTTACGTTATTTTAATCTCTACAAATAGATTGCTAACAGTTCTGCTTTTGAAAAAGGACCTTAACTTTCACAATATGACAGAAGTGAAATTCAAGTTTTGAGACTTCCCTTCATCACGTTTTTGTTCCTACTTTGCCTGGCAAAACTGTCTCGTACGGAACAGTGACATTTCCCCAAACTTCTTGACAATTTGAGTTCCTTCAGATTTTGTGTGTTTATATATATATATATATATAAAAAAACCACCTCAAACTTCACCCATCTTTTCCAGATCCCAGAAAATAACATACATTGCACATTATCCTGAGAGACTATTTAAAGAAATTCCATAGGGCTACACAAAACTGTCACAAAACGTGAAGGCGCAGAAGAAGTCTGTATCTTTATTATACTGAAGATATATAGTGAATAAATGGTTGTAAATCAAAAAGGATGGCACGGGATAAAGCTCTGCCTTAAAAAGCACAACATCTTATCACATGCCTTTGTATTACCTGGAGGGGTGAGAGAATGCTAATCAGTGGATTTGCATATTAATCCAATTTAGACTAGGGATTTGTTTTTCCCCAGTTCTTTTCTGCAGGTATTATCTAGACTTTATTGGTTTCCACCTGACAAAGCTGTTTACTTCACTGTCCTGGTTCTTTCAGGGATAGAGTTAATTTTCTTCCCAGTAGCTGGTACAGTGCTGTGTTTTGGATTTAGTATGAGAATAATGTTGATAACACACCGATGTTTTAGTTGTTGCTGAGCAGTGCTTACACTGGTCAAGGACTTTTCAGCTTCCCATGCCCTGCCAGCGAGAAGCTGGGAGGGGGCACAGCCAGGACAGCTGATCCAAACTGGCCAAAGGGATGTTCCATACCATACGACGTCATGCTCAGTATAGAAACTGGGGGGAGTTGGCCCGGGCAGGACCCCCGCTGCTCGGGAACTGGCTGGGCATCGGTCAGCAGGTGGTGAGCAACTGCATTGTGCATCGCTTATTTTGTATATTCTTTTATCATTATTATTATTTTCCCTTCCTTGTCTGTCCTATTAAACTGTCTTTATCTCAACCCACGAATTTTACTTTCTTTTTTTTCCCCCCCCGATTCTCTCCCCCATCCCACTGGGGCGGGGGAGTGAGCAAACGGCTGTGTGGTGTTCAGCTGCCTGCGGGGTTAAACCACAACATTCACAAAGGAAAAGAAAAAATTAGCAGGGAAAGCACAACACGAACCCTTGTAGAACCATGTTAATAACAGAGATTGCAGTAACTATTACACCTTCAGATCCGCACGCTGGCCACCACCCTGCCAAGCAGAAACGCGAGTGACAGCAGAGTGAGTTACCTGTATCAGGTTGTTTCCAATCTTGAGAGACAGAACATAAATCCCCGGTATTTTATTCTCCACTATTTTCTTAATGTAGCCCATGCTTTGTGGATTGCAGCAACTGTCTCCTGTGAAAGGGAACCCCGCGAAGCACCGTCACGCCACCACCGAGGCCCTCACCTCGCCGACACCCGCCTCCACAAACATCACACCAGGACCCCCCCTGCTGCAACGGGATCAGGAGCTGCCAACGGACACACGGGCCCGGGAGAGAAGGGCCAGCACCTCCCAGCCTCCGCAGAAACCCGCGGCCTGAAGGAGGGGGACACCGGAGCGGGGCCGGGGACGGCCTGCGAGCTCCCCTCGGGCCTGCTCGGGTCCCAGCACGACCCCGTCCGCAGATCGGA